TTATTTTCTCACTTGAAGACATTTTCAAGCCCCACCTTTTTTAGGGAAGTTCTAAATTAGTTTTATCTTTCAAATGCCGTTGGAATTTAACCTTTTCATTTGTTTGGCCTGCAAATGGGACATAGTACCTTTAGCCTGCAAATGGGATGTGGCATCTTTAACAAACAGCAGATTAGAATCTTTCCAATCCAATATATTTCAACTAGGCCTATGTGCCAAATAGGGTTCTTATATCTGCCAAAATGTTGCTGTGGGGCGTGTCGCGTAATTTTCGTTAATTTTGCAACAGATGAGATTAGCTATCAATTATTATTGTGTCAAATTTCACTATATCTTGCCTAGTCATGACAGGTAAATGACCTTTCTATTCATAGGCTATACAGATTAGTGGGGCTTCGTTTTAGAATTAGACGGTAAAATAGCGAAGAAACAAAAGAGGACACTGCCAGAATCAATGTACCCCCTTGCCCCTAACAACGGAGCGCCATCTCATTTTATTTCCGCATCATTATGCATCATTCATAAGTGCATCGCTCTCCACATCCTCGGGCGCTAAGGTAGCACCGCGCTCCGCACCATACCATCACGTACGTACAACACCAACACCTAAATTTACAATGCAATCTCCAATACAAGCCAAGAGCTGAACCTGCTGTGCGTGTTGTAAGTACCATCACTTTCTCAATATATAATATTTTTATTCCTCGTTTTAGTCACTTTATTTTCAATCTGTTCCGAAACAGTATGTCCATATAGAGTCGGAGCTGAAGTTTCATACGCTATCTCGCTTTTGATATGATATAGAACCGAGTTTGATCCCATTGTGTGATTGCTTTGGTAACGTGTATGCAAATCTATGGCTATGTATCTGCAGCCGGTTCGCTGCTTGGTAGCGATGCCGTTCTTGGGCGCACATAAAACCAACTCTATGGCATGACTGAGTGATGTATGGCGGGGTAGTTAGGATGCATAGCTAGCATTGCATGCATGCCTCTCGATATGGTCTCTGAGCGTTAGGTGAGAGCATCATGAAGCCGGTCATGAACATGTATGGCTGAATGATCCATAATGTAGGAACATTAGATGTGCAGAGCTAGGCGTGTAGGCTGCTGATGATGGAATCACTTTTTACTGGTGCTTAGTAGATGATGAATATATGCAATATGTGTAGATTTTATATTCTATCTCAACCCCCCCCCTCCCCCCTCCCCCCTCCATGTGAACCTGTAATTCATGGGAGGGGATGGATTGGTAAAGAACGCCTTAAACTGAGATACATCTACTTAAGTTTGTAAAAATTAACAACTCTCTTCAACATGCAGTGGTAAAAAATTTAAGAGAAAGAATGAATCATTGTCAAAAAAGGAGAGAAGGACCAGCTCAATATTTATATTCTTACATGTCTCACTTTAATTTGTATAGTTTGAGTATGAAATTGAACCTTTCTCACAATGAGTATTGTTGTAGAGGTCAGTGTTTCAAAAGAAGTCAACAAAATACAGATAAAATGTGATCTACTGTAGATGTAGAAGTATCACATTATTGAAGGCTTTACTGGTTTGCTGAATGGGTCAATCAAAACCTCAAATGTTTGCTGGTATTGTGTCGAATAGTATTACACTGGGGCAGTTCTTTCATTGTTTTTGTTAAAAAATAAATTCATGGGGGGGGGGAGGGGGTGGGGAGGAAACATAACTGGATTGAAAATGTTGCACACAATTTATGTGCAAGAAAATTACTGACACTGTTAATTGCTAAGGATTTGTTGTATATCATAAATCATGTCAAGATTTCTCATTTGAAAAGGATATTTTTTATATGAATAATTCACGTTTTGATGGAAGCCAAGCAATGTGATAAATTTTGTCTAATCAAATGTATACAAGAAGGTAGGGTAAGAAAGGAATGCAACAATTTAAAGTTGTATGATAGTATATTTATGTCAGTTTAGAGCCAGAAGGTCATTAAATCATACTTTAACACAGAGATAACCCCCTTCTGGGTATTCTGGCACAGAACAAACAATAATATGTCAGTAAATTATGATGATGTTATCTCAGGTTCATTAACTGTTGAATAAATATTTTTCGCATGTCTCTTCAAACAAATTAAAGGTTAATTAAAGGTAATCATATGAGTCATATCCTTACAACGTGAGGAAAATATGGATAAAAGAAACTAATAAATTCACACCCCCAAAAAATGATTGTATTCAGCAAAATTAACACATCCATGGTCATGATATCTGTATAATAAGCAATCATCAATGTGATGGATCCTGAAGTTGTACAAAAACCTTAGGCAAACAATTCTTTTCCAGTGTTACAAAAAAAAGGATGCATTAAAGAAATTGCATGTGGATGTCAAGGAATATACTCATTATTGTCTGTTAAATAGAGCCAGAAGGGTTCTCTTTCTGTGTAAAATGATACAGGCTAGTAACCTTTGAGCTCTAGTTTGCATGGAAGACAACTTTACAATTGCCCCAGAGCTAGCATTAGGATAATTGCTACATTTACTCATCACTATAGATATAGCAGGGCATTCCTACACAGATTATATTCATGATCCAATGGATATCTCTATTTTAAAATAAATGTGTACAAAGTTGAGGATGAAAGCTGTCCAACAGTATAGAAGAATAGATTAAACCTTTATGATAATGTTCATGGAATAAAGACCAATAGACCATTGTCAAAATGGTAAAAATGCTTGGATTAATAGTAAATTTAGTGTCATAAAATGGTCCAATTTTTCAGTTAGCTTTATATTACAGACACAAGATCAAAATAAAAGGTTCTTCCACCCGGCATCGGAAAGCAAACTGCTTGTGAAAGAGGTTCTCATGGTGAAAATCAAAGTAGTGGCCATGTCGGGGTTGTGCTAGTGTAACTGATGATGTGAGACAGACGTCATTGCATGCGGTTCCTGACTGGTTGTTCACGGTTGTCAGACGACATCCCAGCAGGGGCCTCCGCCGATCTTAAGACGTTTCTCTGGTCATTTAGCCGTTCACACTGCCAAACCAAAGATTCATCTGAAATGAAGTTGTTTGCACCGCCTGTCCAAAGTATGATTGGTCATTGAGCCATGTACACTACTAATCCAAAGATGTTTAATTGGTCATCAAGTCATTCACTTTGTCTAGCCTAAAATTCATTAGTTATGGAGCCATTCACACTGTTGCTGATAATTCAAAGATTCATGGGACATAGTGCTGTTCACACTTCCAAACTAAACACCCTTTTTCTAGTCCAATGAGCTGTTCACACTCGTTCCATCTACAGAGTATGACAATTTTTGTAGCAAATATCTGATAAATTAAAAGTAGTGGAAATAGTAACACTGTATGTCACCAGCTTTTATATTTCTAATAATTAGTTTTATCATACAGAATATATGAACATGCCTCTATATGAAATTTCTGAAAAGAATTATTGAACTCCAAGTTGTTTGTTAATCCATTATATTAGATTACCATTGGTATATCGCTTTTATTAAAAATTAAAAATCTGTTATTGTTTTAATGAAGCTATTCCTTTTAGTAAATGATCAATTGTTCCATTTTTCATTTCTTTCAATTTTTCTTTGTTTCACTTTTCATTTCTTTCAATTTTTCTTTGTTTCATCATAGAAATGGTCATTCATTTCATACTTCCTGTTTTCCCTTTAACATTATTTTTGCTTGAGAAATAGTTTGGAAACAGGGTTAGTGATACATTTTGTTATTCGTTTAAATTGTCAATTAAATTAGAGATTTCAATAACATGATTGAAATCAGTGATGATTTTTGTTTAACCAATCCTGTTTGAAAGGTCTGTACAGTGCATTAAAATCTAATCTGTTGATGTTTTATGCATGCAAAATATAAGTTAGTATTATGATAGGTATCCTATTCTGTATCCTTTCTAAAAGGTATTAGTCCACACTCGGATATTGAGAAAAAAGATTGCCATCTAAAGGAGAGGAGGAGAGCTACCGTTTAGCATCCTAAATGGCAAACAGATTGAAATACGTATGCAAAGACAACTAAATGTCATATTTTGTACCATGTAAGTTGGCAACACTTGTAATTATTCGCTGTAGGTTACAGACCCTATGTAGCCTTTGAGTCAATATTCAGGTAATCTGTCTTACATACCATCTAGATCCACATTAAGTGCATGCTCTCTAGCTAGCCGCAACCTTTATCAGCGACACAGTGAGAGAGAAAAAGAGAAAGAGGATTAAGTAGAATAAAGTGTTCTATGCCCGGGGTGTTAGTCGGCCGTGGTGTTGCATACATTGGACGGAGTTGGATTAGAATGGTAATTCGTGTTTAATAAGGCAGTGTTTGGATACTACTTGAAGTAAGGGCTCTTTACAGTTGAGATAGTAACCGTCTGTTGTAAAGTAGGATGTCCTATGGTAGCATGTTATGTGATGATGATGATGATGATGGTAATTGAGTAGGTTGAACATCCATCTGTTTGTCCAATGTGTAATTATGTTTTGTTAAACCAAAAGACATGTAAAAGATGCTGATAACAAGGTGTAAATTTTAGTCACTCAGATACTGCATGGATGAGAGAAATATTTTTTCTATCATAAAAAATCAATCAAAAACAAGTTTTGCTCACAAATAATGTATATATTTTCCTGTTTGCTAGTGGACAAGGTATACAAATTAAAATTTACGATGATTAAACTAATCCCTAAACTGAATGTAAATTGAAGGGATATTAATCATATTGGGATGGTTGATTCTCCCAGGGGGTAGTTTTGTGGGAATAGTTGTCCAGGGGGTAGTTGTCTAGGAGACAAATTTTCCAACAGGAAGTTTTTCAGGGATTATAATCCAAAGGTCATTGTCATGGTAACCAATAGAATGTCCTAAAACCAATAAGTCATCCTTGCCTCTTCCATACATTATTTTGGAATATATATCTTTTGCTTATCTCTACAGACATGTTGAGTGTACATCATTTCTCATCATGACTGGACCTCCACAACATCATTGAAACCTGGATCCTGCCACTATCTTCCGCCCCCGCCCAAAGGCTCCCCAGCCTCGCCACCTGGCCTTAAATGGCGGGCGCTTTGACTTCGACGATGGGGGCTCTTACTATGGCGGCTGGGAAGAGGGCAAGGCCCATGGGCACGGGGTCTGCACCGGGCCCAAGGGACAGGGCGAGTACAGCGGCTCGTGGCACTTTGGCTTTGAGGTGTCGGGTGTTTATACTTGGCCCAGCGGGAACACCTTCGAGGGGCACTGGGAACACGGGCGGAGACACGGACTGGGGGTAGAGACTAAGGGTCGATGGTTATACAAGGGGGAATGGACTCAAGGGTACAAGGGGAAATATGGAGTTATACAAAGCTTAGCTAGTGGTGCAAGGTACGAAGGAACGTGGAGCAGTGGTCTTCAAGATGGATATGGACAGGAAACCTATGCAGATGGAGGTAAGGACAACATTTTCTTCTTATCGATTGATAAAAGCTAACATCAATCATCTAATAGTAATGGGGGCTGTATAGATCTACTTGAAACCCCAGTTACACCGCTAAACTGACCAATTGGCCATTCAATAAGGCAGCCTGTAGTCAGCATGGTGTCTGTCTCGGTGTGACTGTTGTATTATCTTGATTCTGTAACTGATGGTTTCCAGACATCTTCTGCAATGTCTTGATAAAAATATAGATTTAAACTCTACTTCGAATGCTAGTTTATGCAATGATCTCAGTCTCATAAGATTAGATTGCACAGTGCTAGAGAAGGAATCTTAGCTATTTGCCTGAGTTGATCCTTGATGATGAAATTAATTCATGCTTCAGTTAATTTGTATGCGATTCAAAAATTTGCAATTTGATTATATGGGGATCAACTAACCATTATCATTTTTGTGAAATACTCAAAAGTTTAACACTTGAATAAAATTGTGAAGTAAGTATCCAAGTCCTTTAGTATATATCAAAAGAGAAACAGGCATATAAATAAAATCATTAAGTTTTGCGTAAATAAACAGCATGTATGGCGCTAACCACAAGTCATTACAACAAATTAAGTATATATATTAGGTCAGTAAGACATAGATGCAGATACAGTCCCAAATATTAGGGAGTTAATTCACACAGATGACAAAAAATAACTGTGGAGAGATATAAATGGGGAAGTATTATGTTACATTTACAAAGAATCTCACTCTCCGTCAATTATATTTGACTGAAATTAATTTTTATTTATTTTTTCCTTTCTAAGCAATAGCATTAAACAGACTGTTGTGTTGTGGGTTGGACTATTAGGCTAAATAAATATAAGTATAGAGACAACTTAATGGAGCCTTCATAAACATTGTATGGTGGAGTCTACATGTCATTAATTAATATCTTTGTATTCATCAACTTGGCACACAGCAACCTTTATGTTACATGGAGGTATAATGAACTTAATGCTTATGGAAATAATTATGAAAGGTCAGCTGATTCACTTACATGTGAATTATGATCCAAGTCATGTTGTACATTAATCTATTGTGACTTTGTTTAAACTGTTTATCCTCCATGCCCTTCCTGCACATGGCAACATGTTATTGTTTTATTTAACATGAACATTAATGAATAAAAGGGGGGAATTAAAGTAATGAAATATAATTATAGATTCATTAACTAATTAAATGAATATTAGCCAACACAAAGGTGTGTTTGATATTGGTTACCTTCACATTGTCTCTTGTTTACATACACATTGAAACACAGTGAAATGTTCACTGTTATTTCATGATCTTCTCTTAACTGTTGAAAAGACCAGTGTTTTTTAAAGATAAATATCTGTGAAATCACAATACTATAGACTAAAGCTGATCTTTTGCTGAAAATTCTTAAGCAGTAGCTAATATTTGACTTGATAATATTTACACACTTTTCAAAGTATTTGTTTGTTTAGAAGTCCTTCAAATGAAATAAGAGACATTGTATTGTGCAAGCAGATTAGGTTTAGCTGAGAGATTATAAAAGCAAACTCATGCGAAAGAAATTGTATTTTTGTGCTTTGGGAAACTGTTGAGAAAGAGGGGGGGGGGAGGCATTTGCTTCCAATTCCCTCTCAATTTGCCATTGAATTCTCTTAATCATAAAAAAAACAATACCAAGACAATTGAAATATTAAAATTTGTTATATGGTATTTTAAAATTTGATTTAGCCAAAATACATTTTTAGGATAGGATATAATAAGTTTAAAACATATTTTTGATGTTTAGAAGAAAAAAAGACACATCAGGAAACCTTATCCACGACGTAAAAGCACGATTATGGTATGTAGATCTTCTAAACTTCTGAGACAAAAATTGAATCGGGGCTTACAGTTTTCACTTTGAACAATAACAGATGTAATGCTCTGAAGCTGTACACAAGCCCTTCACAATGGAATTTTGAATACTAAATGAAGTCTGCCTCTTGAGTAAAATGGAGAAGAATTGTAAGTCAGGCTGAAGCCCCTTACTCCTAAGACCTCGTCCTCGATGCTGCAAACAGTCGGGATGCAAACCAAACTTTGGTAAACAAGCAGCTAGAATTTCACATTATTCGACACCAGTTGAATCTGTTTAACTCACTATTCAGCACAAGGTAAAAAGAGGGGAGAGAAAAGTGAGATAAAAGCTGAAGAATGGGACATTTTCGTCATTTAACCCAATTTATTGCATATATCTGTGTGAAGTGTCTTGATATGAATTGATTTTATTTAGCTGTTAAAATTGTTTGTATCTTAATAGTAAATTCCATGTTCCATATTAGGTGGGAAAATGGAGAAAAACAGAAAAATTGTGAGTCTCATCATGGGAATAGTGATTAAGGCACGTTCAGACATATTTCTTAGCATTATTCATCATTCTCCCTTTAATCATTGCTCAGTGGAATGCACTCCCATTTCATGGTAACCATTTAACAAATATCTGCGATTACTTAACTCATGCGTGTACTTGATTCTAAATTGAGATACCAAGGTCTTGATGGCTATTGACTGGACAATACAATGCAATTCAGAGTTCATTAAAATTCAATTTATGAAATTTGTTCCCTGGTGCTGGGTCTCTGGCCCCTTGTAAGCCATGGTTACGAGCTATTGTTTCCTCTCTGCTGTAGTAGTAATCAGATACTCATATGAAAACTCTATTGTGGAAATGAGATCTCTGTGAATATTGTCTACTTGTAGTTTGTAATTGCTTACATCAAGGGTTTTTATGCCTCCGCTACAAAGTAGCAGGAGGCATTATGTTTTTTGGTTGTCTGTCCGTCTGTACGTACGTATGTATGTCCCGTTCTCATGATCGTGCTACCTCAAGAACCGATTGATGATTTTCTTATCTAACTTCCTATATATCTGCTGCTGGTTCAATTGTATGCTGTAAATATATTTAAAAATTGTTTTTGCAATTTGTTGGCATCTTATAATTTGGCTGAATAATTTATTTTAAAAAAAGAATCCCTGCTGTCCTATACTTACCATTTATATATAAACTTAACAAAGAAATGTCTGTCATTTAAAGTTGCTCTAGACCTTTAATTAAAATTACATAGGTCTATATTGTATCCGGTAGAATATTAAGATATTTCCCAGAATAGAATTTTGACAGGAATAAAGTCATCAGAGTTGCCAATGAGAATTTGAGAAGCTGATTGTTGTTTTACCATATAAATCCCTATTCCATGATGAATGGATATATATTGGCGGCATGTATGTCTGCATGTCGTAGGGTGAAGGTATGTAAGCTGGGTGAAGGCAGCATGAGACCGGCTCACGGTGAAGAACATTAGGGAGAGACTTGACTGCACTCTATAGCCTGGCCATACCTGGCATTCTTCTGGTCTAAGATTGAGGTCATTTCAAATGTCATTAAAGCAACGATCTTGGGTGTGTGTCTGCCATACTCCTAGCCTGTACGTACAGAAAACTTATACAAGATGCCTTACAGAAGTGTGCAGCCAGTGCAGGGATATACTGCATGCAGAAGATTTTTACAAAAATCTGTTTGTAGATATTTTTCTTTCAAAATGAACATGTCCACATTGTATTAATACTAATCAGTAATTGATGTCTATGTTATTTACTTGTTTTGTTTTGAAATCTAGATAAAGTTAGACAGAGTAGTATGCAACATTGATATACTCCATGCTGTATATTCTTGTGTGTACATGTGGAAAGCTGAGACAAGCAATTATTCATATTACTCTAAAATATAGAGCCTAATATTCAATAATTCCAATGACTCACATGTTGCACAGCTGAGGGCATCTCTTGAATGTATGTGTAGGTTGATAAGAAGGCAGACAGTTTATTGTCCATGTACATGACCATGTCTACTATTGACTATTTACAGCCACATAACAAATTCAAATGATAACCCTCTTGAATCACTTATCTTGCATAATATTTTGCTTATAGGTATCAAATCTTACTATTTGACCCATGATATCAATATATTTATATAAAAAATCAAACCTAAGAATCAATATTGATATCCACGTTCACTCTATTCTACTTTATACTAAATACTGACCAGTCTCTTAATTAATATTTGCTCTTTAATCTACGCCTGATTGCCAATGATAAAAGCAAACTACACAATCAAAAATTATTGACTGACCGTCTATTGTGTGAGTATTGATGCTGCATCGTCGTGGACTCGTGTGAACTGTGAATGGCAGATCCATACAATCAGTATTGAGATCAGTGAAAAGGACCAATTACCCGCAGTTTGGTTGGTGTGCAGCAATCAATGGTTGCCATGACAACATAATTTCATGGAATTCAACTGCCATGGTTGGTATGAGCGATATGATTGGGGCATATTTCTTGATAAAATGATATTACATCACATTTGTTCTTATTTGGAAATTTTATACCCTTTTTTCCTGAAGCAACTATCCTTTGATACCTTTTTCTTCTTCTTCAATTAAATATAACCCAGATGCAGAGATTACTATGGATTCAAATTTGACCTTTAAACAAGTAATTTCCAATCATTGTTGGCTGAATGAGAAGTTTGATCTCAATTGATTTGCTAGTCACCTGTAAATACAAATATCCAGATCTATCTTAGTGTATTGATAAAACTCATATTTGTTGTTGTTGTTGTTGTTTCATTTGCAATTATAGACTGATACTATAAAGATAGTTTGGAAAATGTATATGGAATTGACATAAACCATGTGTAGCATGATTAGTCCATTCAACCCACAAACTTAGAAGCTTCAAATAATTTAAGTCTTTGAATTTAAATAGAGCAGTCAGATCAAATGTAAATGAATGTACAAAGATAATCATGACATACTTGTCCTATGCTGTATGATTTCTTATGCATTTCCCTGTACTTTATTTCAATCAGTATATATTAGTTCCAAAGTAGCTCACCTGCATGGTAGGGCGTCTTTAAAATAAGTTATCATCATGCAGCAAGTCTGAAGATCATATTACTGTATTCACCTTATCCTTTTCCTCTTTGACCT